ATAGGAGTGCTGCCTAGGTGTAAACAGCGTCACTTTTTCGAGGAGGGAATGAGGGAGGGGAAGAAGGAGAGGGAAGGAAGGAAGGAAGGAAGGAAGGAAGGAAGGGGTAATAACTATGTCTTATGGTTTTATTATGGAATTTACGTATTAGAATTTATTATGAATTAAAATGTTTCTGAGATATTCTTGTTTCCTCTTTTTCTCCACCACTCCATCTCTTGCCTCCCTCTCTCTCTCTACCACCTGACACGCCTTATCCCGTATGATCACCACCAGAAACACCACCACCACTACTATCCCCACTCCCTCTCCACTAACCCCACCCCACCCCTTCTCCACTAACCCCACCCCTCTCTACTTACCCCACCCCTCTCTACTTACCCCACCCCTCTCTACTTACCCCTCCCCACCCCTCTCTACTTACCCCACCCCACCCCTCTCTACTTACCCCTCCCTCTACCCCCCACCCCACTCCCTCTCCACTAACTCTCCTCCTCTCTACTTACCCTCCCTCTCTACTAACCCCACCCTGTCTCCACTAACCCCACCCCTTTCTACTAACCCCACCCCCCTTTTCTAACCCACTAACCCTCACCCCTCCACTAACCCCTTTTCTACCTAACTCCCCACCCCTCCTCTACTAACCCCACCCCCTCCCCCCCCTCCCCACTAACTACTTCCACAGCAGAGTTGAAGAAGGTGAAATTTCTACGTAGTAAATGTTTATATGTTCAGTGCACCTCCCTTACTCTCGGTAAACATGGCACTCCCCCCCCCCTTGTGCCAGGGCCATTGTAGAGTGAGGCAGTACACACACCCACGGTGGCCCTCCCTCATACTCTACCTTACACTGCACAGTTATTGTAAGTGTGAGGAATTTTACACCCAACCCTGCCTATTCTCCTGTACCCCATTCTGCTTCCTTATCCTTACCCTCATCCTGCTCCCTCATTATATAAGCTACTATTCTTCATATATTTATTTCAGGCGTGAGCAGATACTGTGTGTGTGTGTGTGTGGGTGTGTGTGGGTGGAGTGTCAGGGCAGTGGTAGTGGTAGAGGCAGTTGTTGGGGCAGTGTGGTGGTGGTGGTGGTGGGTAGAGGCAGTTGTCCAGGGCAGTGATGGTGGTGGTATGGTGGTGGTAGAGGCAGTTGTCAGGGTGGTGGTGGTGGTAGAAAGGCAGGTCAGGGCAGTGGTGGTGGTGGTAGAGGCAGTTGTCAGGGTGGTGGTGGTGGTAGTTGTCAGGGCAGTGGTGGTGGTGGTGGTGGAGGCAGTTGTCAGGCAGTGGTGGTGGTGGTGGTAGGAGGTAGGTTGTAGGGCAGTGGTGGTGGTGGTGGTTGTCAGGGCAGTGGTGGTGGTGGTAGAGGCAGTTGTCAGGGCAGTGGTGGTGGTGGTAGAGGCAGTTGTCAGGGTGGTGGTGGTGGTGGTAGAGGCAGTTGTCAGGGCAGTGATGGTGGTGGTAGAGGCAGTTGTCAGTGGTGGTGGTGGTGGTGGTAGAGGCAGTTGTCAGGGCAGTGATGGTGGTGGCAGTTGTCAGGCAGTGGTGGTGGTAGAGGCAGTTGTCAGTGGTGGTGGTGGTGGTAGAGGCAGTTGTCAGGGCAGAGGCAGTTGTCAGTGGTGGTGGTGGTAGAGGCAGTTGTCAGGGTGGTGGTAGAGGCAGTGGTGGTGGTCACGGGTATGATCGAGACACTGGGATGTGTAACTGACCCCAATAACACCCACACTCGCCTCCTCCTCCTCCTCGTCCTCCTCCTCCACCCTCGTCCTCCTCCTCCACCCTCGTCCTCCTCTACCCTCGTCCTTTTCCTCCTCCGCCTCCCACGAATCCCCTCCTCCCTCTTTCCCCACCTCCTCTCTCACCCACCATCCTCCTTCGCCCTTCCTCCTTCTTGCACCTCGCCCTCCTCTCTTTGCACCTCGCCCTCCTCCTCCTTGCACCTCGCCCTCCTCCTTCTTGCACCTCACCCTCCTTCTTGTACCTCGCCCTCCTCCTCCTTGCACCTCGCCCTCCTCCCTCTGCACCTCGCCCTCCTCCTCCTTTGCACCTCGCCCTCCTCCTCCCCTTGCACCTCGCCCTCCTCCTTCTTGCACCTCACCCTTCTCCTTCTTGTACCTCGCCCTCCTCCTCCCTGCACCTCGCCCTCCTCCTCCTTGCACCTCGCCCTCCTCCTCCTCATGCACCTCGCCCTCCTCCTCCTTGCCTCACCCTCCTCCTCCTTGCACCTCACCCTCCTCCTCCTTGCACCTCGCCCTCCTCCTCCTTGTGCCTCGCCCTCCTCCTCCTTGTACCTCGCCCTCCTCCTCCTTGCACCTCGCCCTCCTCCTCCTTGCACCTCGCCCTCCTCCTCCTTGCACCTCGCCCTCCTCCTCCTAGTTGGACTTTCATTGATACTTGTGTACCTCATAATAAACACCAGTGGTTCAAGTAAACATCAAGTGTTTTTGCATGCTACAGCGGTCTATGTAGTGATGTAGTAAAAACCTAACCTAACCTAACCTCAGGTCCGAGTTTTCTTCAATGGTGGTCGCGTTTTTCAGTTCTGACTTAAGTGGTGTAAGTCCTTCCTCTTACAAGTAATAACTCGATAGTCAATAATTGTCCAAAGAGAAGGTGTGTATTGTAGGTAACTGAAGATTGTTTTATGTAAATTATAATTATTGAATTATTTTGTAATCAACAATTGTTGGTTGTTCTTACTTGCTGGAGAATTATTATAATGAATGACGCAGAATAAATTTAAGGTAATTGTGATTTATTTTGACTACCGATATATTCGTTTTGAATTTTAAACATAACGAAATATAACGAAAAACCACGATTTCGGTGTTTGAATGGGGGGAAAAAATTAGACACTTGAAAAATTCTTCTTAAATTTATCATCAAATTTATCGTCTACAAACATTAAAAGTGGAAATGAAAAAAAAAAACGCGGCTCAAACACCACCTGACTGTGAGGGCTGTGAGGGTGCGGTGATGTTCCAATATTTTCCTGTAAAAAAAAAAATAATAATCTAGAGTTAATATATTTCTACCACCAGTATACTCTTAGGGCCACTGCTTATAGTAACTAATTCTCCTAAGTTAACATTACAACAGGAAGGACACATGGAAACACTAAGAGGACAGAACCTGACAATGAGGGAGAGTGGGTGGAAAGTGTGTCAGGCTTTTAAAGGGGTAGGGAGGTCTTTAACCTCCTCCTTGAGTATGATGGCAGTGTGTATTCAAGGGCTTAAGTCATTGAAGTCATGGGGTTAATTCATCGTACTTGAGGGTTAAGTCATGGTACTGGAGGGGTTAAGTCATCGTACTGAGGGTTAAGTCATGGTACTGGAGGGATAAAGTCATCGTACTTGAGGGTTAAGTCATGGTACTGGAGGGGTAAAGTCATCGTACTGAGGGTTAAGTCATCGTACTGAGGGCTCAAGACATCATATTGTAGGGCTCAAGTCATCATATTGTAGGGCTCAAGTCATCATACTAATGGGGTCAACAACAAAAAAGTGTAGCACCAAAGATAAGAGCGCATGTCAGGTCGTGGGAGGTCAGAGGGTCGTCTAGGGTCACCGGCATGTTGTGTTTTGGTAAGGACTATATGAAGAGGTCAAGGGTCAATCCTCACACAGAATGCAGCGGGGTGTTCAGAAAATTAGGGCACAGGGCATAGCTGACGTGTATGAGAGTAAGGCATTGTTTTGCTGGTGGCTGAGGGTATTGATGTGGTTGTATTTGGGTAAAGGTGGTAGTTGAGGGTATTGATGTGGTTGTATTTGGGTAATGGTGGTAGTTGAGGTAACGATGATGATTGGGTGGTGATGGCTATGAGTGATGGTTGATATGAGTGTGTGGTGATGGTTGGATGGTGATAGCTGTGTGGTGGTGATGGTGCTGTTGCTGACTGTGTGGTAGGGTGGTGGTGGTGGTGGTGATTCTCGTCTTGTGAAAACTTCTTGTTCGTCTGTTCACTGTTCTTACTTACCTCTTATGTCTTCGTTTAGTACAACTTTCACTTCTTTTCTTTATTAATTTTTTTCTTTTCATACTAATAATATTACCCCATCCTCCTCCTCCCCCCCCCTCTCTTACTATTGCCACTCTTCCCTCCTTTATCCTCCTCCTCCTCTCTCCTCTTACTACCACTACTCCTTCATAGTCTTTCTCCTCTTCCTCTATTCTTATCACTATTCTTCCTTCATACTACTCCTTTCTTCTTTTCCTCCCATCCCCCTTCCTCGTGTGTCAGAACAATTGCGTTGTTAAGGTATGGTGTAGTTAGCGGTGAGTTGAGGGCACATCAATTATTATTAACTAGCACCAAGGCAGTTTAGTAATGTGTGGTATTATGTAGTTTGGTTTTTTAATTTACATATGTCTGTATTTATCATCAGTGGTCAAATAAAGAGAGGTTTCCTGGGAAGGGTTTTTATTCGGTGGTGACTTGAGAATTCACCAGCTGGTTAGTGTTTTTTGGTGTTCCTGTCGTGGCTATGTACTCTCGCTTGTGGCAATTCTGTGTTTCTTTACATCGTGTTAAAACTGCCTAAGGAACCTGACAATAGTAGCCAGACTAAGATAAGGATTATACAGAGTTGCCACACCTCACAAAGCACGCCAGTCATTGTATTAGGTATAAGTGCAGGTGACTGTGCTTGGACAACAGTCGGGAACAATATGAGGTCGATGATTCGTCTGTGGTTCATCAGCTCAGGCGACGTGTATCGTCAGTTGATTATGTATTCATTATTGTATAAGTCATCCATCGATCCATCCATCATTCAGTTATCTCTACGTTGATCGTGCAAGCATTTAATCACCATTTATATACCTACACATCATTCCAACTATTCATCCATCTTGCATCCATTCATCATCCACCTATTGAAATCTTTCCGTGTTATATTTTCTGTTTTCTTGTCTAGATATTTATTGTTCTTTTCTCATCACCTCACCTCTTGTGGTGTTCACTTATAAATTGTTCACTACTTTTGTCTCTTGCAGCGTGGACGTCGGGCGAAGGTGTGGAGCGGGTGTGGGTGAGGGCTGAACCCACTGCCTACACGCCTGCCCAGGACAGTAGTGGGCGTAACGGCGGGCGGGTGTACAGGTGGGAGGCGTTGGATAGGGAGTGGGCGGTGAGGGTGTGGGAGGACGCTGGGTTCCTGGCGCCATCTATGCTGATGCGACAAGAATCCGCCTACGAGGCCAGGGTGACCCCGCCCACACTCCATGCCCGCTGCTTCCACACGGGCGTCCTCCTTGGTGCCAACGATTCAGCCGTGGCTATCAACGTCTGCACAGGACTGGTGAGTACCTATGATCCTCATTATATTATAACGTGTTACATACTTGTTTGTGTTCTGTTGTGTTGTGTGTTCTGTGGTGAGTGTTGCGTCCAACTTTGTGTTTGTTGTTGACGACGGGATTTTACCTTTAGTTACTGGGTGTTGGGGTCTTATGATGGAGAAGGATGTGGCAACCTTCTGCTCCCAGGTACTTAGATTCAGGAATGTGTGTAAAAGAACGTGTGATGAGTACGAAGATTTTGCATGGGATGTGTGTGAGTGTGTAGGGTGTGTTTAACAGGTAAGTGACAGAAAATATGATTCGTAAGTGTAAGACAGGAGGGGTGGGGAAGCTCTGGTGAGGAGGTGTACGTGTTGTGTTGAGGAGATACAAGGGGAAGTGAGGAAGAGGTAAACAGAAGTGACCAGTGTACACCTCACACACTCGTGAAACACTTGAACCACAGAGATGATGTTGACGTGTACAGGTGGATAACTGGGGGGGGGGGGTGCAGTGCTTTGTGTCGGTACGTTCCCAACAATGCAGTCACACACAGACATATATGCACACGCAATCACACCCACATGTACATGGAATCACCCAACCGCACATGTTTATTTATGACAACCAGTACACAAAGGGCTGCATCTTCTCATATGTTAAATAAAGATGTACAGAGATGTGTCTTTGGGTTGAAAATAAGGGGCACATGTGGTAGTGTGGTGGGAAGCACGTGTGGTGGTCAGACAAAGAGAACAAAGATGATTACGTGTGTGTGAACGAATAACCCCACTGTATGGAGACACCGGAAATAATACTGGTCAATCAACATGGAAATATTATTAGATAAAACTATGAGTGTAAATATTATCTGTATGTAGGAACACTTGAATAATTTATCTCTATATTAAAACACATGTGCTGTATATTCCTTTCACTTAAGGGACAAATTGCTGCTCATTTGTTGGCTATAATCTGAACCTGCATCTCGTAAAGCATTTTAGTATGTGGCCCAAGACTAAACACGTAGAATATAGTTTAAAATGCTAAGTTCTACAGACGCTATTTGTCTATGGTATAAGGAGTATTAAAGACAGTTGCCTCAAACAAGGTGTAGCTAGTTAGTAGTAGTCAGGCACCTCACGTCTCCAGTGATATACGCAGTACAAGTTTTTTTCAGGGATTAAGTGTGAGGCACAAATAAAATATCGTCAACAAGAGTGTAAGTCTGTCAACAAAGACATGTATACTAAGAACAACTCTTTGTATATCTCGCCCAGCTGACATTATGACCCCGGTTGTTCACGTAAATTAAATCATTTCCTTTTTATTAATTTATTTCTTTTAAACATTTGGATATTGTATTTTCTGTTTCTTCTCGGAATTATGAAACCTGTGTTTTTTTTTTCAAACTTCATAATTCTCGTAAATAATAATAAAAAAAATTCCTCCCATGACGGAAATTTTGACAAAAGAAGTCGTTAGATTGTCAACGTTGGTCTCTTGTATTGTTAACAGGACTAAATGTTGTGAATATATTCTTACTTTTCTTACGAGTGTGTGTGTGTGTGTGTGTGTGTGTGTGTGTGCGTGCGTGTGTGTGTGTGTGTGTGTGTGAGGCTCAGCTGCTCGCTTGTAGACTCTTCGTACAATAAACACCTGGCATGGTTAGTGTGATTGTCAAAGTGGTATTGATAGTTACGGTGATGGCTCTTGTGGTGGTTAGGTCATGATAATGGTGACTATAATATTGAGTCCCATACTGGTTGTTGTGGTGATGGTAGTGATGATGATGGTAGTGATGATGATGGTGTTGGTACTGGTGGTGGTGATGATGATGGTACTGGTGGTGGTGATGATGGTGGTGGTACTTGGGATACAGACTTCACCGAGAGGGGGAGGAGGGGGGGGGGGCAGGATATGATGAGCATGGTGGTGATGGTAGAGTCGCTCCCGTGGATGGTGTACACGCTGTGCTTGAGTCAGGTTAGTGGTAGGTGGCTGAGCTCAGGAAATACTTGCGTGAGGTCAGCAGATGACACAGGGACAAGTTCATTTACCTCCACCTCGTTAACTCGCACCACCCACACTTCGTCATACAATTCCTCATGATTTGGTCTGCTATCGGCCGTCTACCCCGTCACCAGGAGGAAACTGAGGGAAGCATCAGGTCACAGATGTTACTGGGAATTTGCAGGAAATATTCAGTAACTTGTTGAGCTTGGGAGTAGAGTTATGGCTGAGGAACCCCACGTAGGCGATGCTTACACTGAGGCTACGTCAGGAGGGTTTGGATGATACTTCATAACTGGTGTACTACAGGGTATTCAGTCTCCTGACAGCTAGGGGTTATATGTCTATCGTCGGGCTACTTGCAAAAAAGTCTTAAATATTTTTGGAGGATAGGACTGTTTTGCCCCCACACCCGCCACCCAGTTATTAAATGGGTTACAGGAAAGGGTCTAGGGAGGGTATAATTGCATGATAAAGGAGTTAACAGATGGTGAATCAGACGAAGAGGTGGTGAGGGTCAGGCCAGGAGGAGCGCTCTCTCACCCTCGGTTGAGTCTTTCCAAACATTTCACAGCGTTTTATAACCAGAATTTTAAGTCATAACGTACAACACATAAAATAACTTTATTAATTATTGTTTATATTGTGAATTCACGTACCGTAATTATTTAATAGGTATTTGTTTTTCTTATTATTTAGCTTTTCCTGTTATTTTCATTGACAAAGGCTGCTTGAGAGTCGCTGTCTCCTTTGTCCGTCCTGGGCCAACTGAAGGACAGGTTTGTGCGCTGTCACCAGGGGCGATTTAGACAGCTTGTGTCGTATTGGTGAGCTTCAGGCTCTTGACCGACCACGGCCCTTAAGGCTGGTATCATTACTTAAGTGTGTTTTTCAGGAGGCCCTTAAAAGCCATCGTGTGTAGTACAGCGCTTAAACAAGACCCTTAAATTTTAATAACCAAATCCTTACATGGTGAAGTAAGTTGAGTGGACGTTAATGAAAGTGACCTTCGGGAGGTGTCGCTTGAGGTACTGTACCTTGCTTGATTCAACACACCCAAGTGTGTTCTGGCCAGAGTGTTTCTCTTGCCTCTGAGTATCAAGTGGCGTGGAAAGCATCGTCGAGGAGAGGGAACTTATAAGGTCAAACGGACGCCTACAAAAAGTTGATCTGAATTGATTATCGACCCAGATGAAAGTTTGTACTGAAAGATGTAGCTCCAAATGTACCATTTTTTGCTCAATGCGTAGTTAAAACTCGCTTATCATTCTGGAGAAGAAAAAAATATTAAAACTGTTCTAATGTGTTCGTAAATACTGCACTATTCAACTTTATTCAGTTATAAATATTTCCTATATGTTACATTATTTCTTCTTCCCAAACTGGTATGTTGAATATCAAATCTTTTACTTTACACTGATGAAAGACATGTTATCAGATGTTACAGACGCCATTAGGAATGTTGTTTCAAGACCCAGCCCATAAAACCATCCATGAACTGCTAGGTCGAGGTTAACCCCCAAAAAACTGGCTTTAATTAGACACTGAGATATTATTGTGTTGACTTAATGAATCCTAATTAAAAAAAAAACATCGTACATTTATATCTTAAAAATTGTAACCTCCTCCCTGCTGTTATTGTACCGCTAAATGATGAGGTTCTGAGTGCGTTGTCATGTTATCGCACTAATAATGTTTTGAGTAATCTAAGTGAGTTATCAAACGTCGAGAAATATTAGCTCACTCGTGGCCATCATACCGTCGACAGCAGCTTAGATATTATGATGTTTAAGAGAGATGGAAGCCCGGGAAGGAGTGTGGGATGGGGGGATGAAAGGGGAGTGTGGGATGGGGGGATGAAAGGAGTGTGGGATGGGGATGAAAGGGGAGTGTGGGATGGGGATGAAAGGGGAGTGTGGGATGGGGGATGAAGGGGTGTGGGATGGGGATGTAAGGAGTGTGGGTGGGGATGGTGTGGGATGGGGATGAAGGGGTGTGGGATGGGGATGTGGGATGGGGATGAAGGGGGAGTGGGAGGGGATGAAAGGGTGTGGGATGGGGGATGAAAGGGAGTGTGGGATGGGGGATGAAAGAGTGTGGGATGGGGATGAAAGGGGGAGTGTGGGATGGGGGATGCAAGGGTCGTGTGGTAGGGATAGTGCAGATGGGAAAGGGTGGGAGAATATGGGAGGGTAGCATACGAGGAAAGGGTGGAAAGGGAATGTAGGAGTAGCATAGGAGTGGAAAGTGGGGATAATGAAACAGGGAGATGGAAGGGGTGGTTGAAGACTAATCAGAGAGAGAGAGCTCTCTCCAACTCATCAAGACTGTGGCTGGGGTGAAGTGACGAAGACGAATAGATATTAAGGTTCATCACCACCACCATCATCATCACCACCACCACCACCACCCCTTCATCACCATCTACCTCCCCCAAATCAGTGTTGTGAGCTCACGACACTAAATATTATTTCGTCTCGGTGCCTTATCATGATATATTGTTCGACTGTGACATATTGAATCGTATTGGATGTGTCACTTGAAGATGGATTTTGACGTGTTTGAATGTCTTGTCTTTTTTGGATATGCAGATTTGACATGAAGAAACTATTTTACCTGGATATAGTATTACGAAATGGTTGTCTGACACGGATGATTAACCTTGATGTGGGTATGTCCTTGGAAATGTTCACTTTGACATGGTGATGAACTATAAGCTGTTAAATTAACTAAATGTGTGTCTTCTTTACAAGCCTTCAAAAAACAACAACAAAAGAGAAGACAAACAGGTTAACGAAGGTCATTATGTAGTTAGTCTCCTGGACACGACCCCCCCCCCCTCCCCTAGACCAGTTATCGACACTCAGACTGTGGACATCATTAATCTTGGTGTGTGGAGAGGAAGACAAGTGAGGCACACGCTAAGGTCTTTATTGTCCTCCTACTTGTCCTTCTTTTCATTCTTCTTCTTCTTCTCCTGCTGCTCCTCATTTTCCTCTTCATTTTCTTCCTTCTCCTCCTCATTTTCTTCCTCCTTCTCATTTTCCTCTTCATTTACCTCCTGCTCCTCCTCCAACTCCTTCAACTCCTCCTCCTCCAACTCTTCCTTCTCATCCTCATTTTCTTCCTCCTCCTTCTCCAACTCTTCCTTCTCCTCCTCATTTTCCTCTTCCTCCTCATTTCTCCTCCTCCTTTCCCTCCTCCTCATTTACTTCCTCCTCCTCCTCTCTCTTCTTCTTCTTCTCCTCCTCCTCTTCCTCCTCCTGCTGCTCCTCCTTCAACTCCTCCTCCTCCTCATTTCCTCCTCCTCCTCATTTCCTCCTCCTCATCATTTCCTCCTCCTCTTCCTTCTCCTCCCCCTCCCCCTCCCCCTCTTCCTTCCTCTCTTCCTCCTGGTCAGCACCGACACACACACTCCTCATTCTTTACACCGGACAACCAAAATAATGCACCAAGTGTGTCTGAGTTTTTTTATAAAGATTAATGCGTGAACTTTTGTTTTCCTCTACTGGCGGCTGAGGGAACTCGTGTGTGGATGTAATAGAGTATCCCTACAAGTAATAGGCCCCAACCCAACCTAATCTAACCTAATCTAACCTAATCTAATCTAATCTAACCTAATCTAATCTAACCTAATCTAACGAGCCCCAGTTCTAACGAGGTCCCAGTCTTATTGAGGCCTCTGTCTTAAAAGAGAGGGCCCGGGCCAGTCATTTTGGGCCCCAATCCTAATGACTAGGTTAGGTTAGGACAGGTTAGGTTAGGTTAGGTTAAGTTAAGTTAGGACAGGTTAGGTTAGGTTAGGTTAGGACATGTTAGGTTAAGTTAAGGATCATTTGACATTCAACTATTTCGACCTAATTTCAGCCATCGTCTTTGTGTTGTAGCTTGAGTGAGTCAGACGCATTCCTGCATCATTAGTTAGTGGATATATTTGACTCACAAACCTTTCAGATTATAGAACCA